CCGGGCAGCCCCGCCTCGCCCCTCACCCCGCCGGCCGCGGAGGCGCTGGTGCGCCTCAGTCGGGAACTCGTCGGCGAGTTGGTGAGGCTGGGAGAGGCGCGCGCCCCACAGCCTGCTAGCCGCCTTTCTCCTCCCGCGACCACCGGGGCGGCCGGCAGGTGGAAGCAGTGGCAACAGGTGTGGCCGCCTGCGCCGCCCCGCCCCGCGCCCCGCCCCACCCTCAGCCCCTGTGTCCGGCGCTGCGCCGGGGCGGGGTCCCGGCCGCCGCCCCACTCGGGGTCAGGCGCCAACTCGGTCGTGGCCGCTCGCGCCAGCTCGGCCCCTGGCGGGACCTTGAAGTAACACACTGGACCGTCCCCGCTGGGGCTGTGGGGTGACCTCGGGCTTTCTCCAGGTGCTCTGCTGACCCCCACTCTGTTTAGATTTACCCGAGCTCCCGCCGGTGTGGCCGCCGCGTGCCTGCGGGGCCTTTGGGATGTGCCGGTGTGGGCGCACACTGCTCTCCAGGCCCTGGGGGTCACCCTACCCGGGTCCTGTTTTCCTGTACCGGGAACCTGGGCTGGAGCACTGGGGTCAGGGCCCACCTTTCACGGGTGCCGTCCCCATGAAGACACCCCTTGTTAGGCAGCTGGGAGCGAGTGCCGGCGGGGCCGGGTGGGCGCCAAGGTCAGGGCGGGGGGTAGAGAAGCCCTGGCGGGGCTGTGCTGGCGGGGGCGTCTGCCTGGGGAGCAGGGGGGCGCCCCTCGCCCTCGCCTGGACCTGCCCAGGTGTGACGTGGCACGTGTGGTTTGGGACAGGCGGCACCAGGCCACGGCCTCCCGGCATGCACCTCTGGCCTGTGTGTGAGTGTCACTGCCCTGTCTCCGCTGGGCACTGCCAGGCACCTCGCCGTGGCTGGTCCCCTAATGATTGTAAAACTGCGCCCAGGCCCGCGGTTGCTGGGGGACGTGTGCACACAGGTGGTTGGTGACTCAGCTTCTCTGCACTTCGGCGCGAGGCTGCGCCGCTGCAGGGCCGTGGGGCCGCAGGGATGCGGGTGACCTGGGTGACCGCCGTCCCTGCGACCACAGGTGGCCCTTCCGGTCCAAGGGCTGGCTCTAGGAGCCCCCCGTCCTGAGTTTTACCCCTAAAGCCTACGCAGCTGCTCTTTGTCCTCGCCCACGACAGCGGCTGGACACGGCAGCACAGTGCCCCGTGGGGGGGGTGTCGCGGAGGCCAGCAGCAGACGGGCTACTCTTGGCCAGGTCAGGTTATTGGCCTTTGGTGCCTGTGGGCAGCGGTGGGCTGCCCAGGGGTGAAGAGCAGGACCTGGAGACACCACCTTATCCAGTGAACCCGCCTGTGGCCTCTGATCCGGGCTCCTCTGGGAAGGGGTTCTCAGAACAGGGGCGGGGAAGCCGCAGCCCCCAGCGCCGCACGGCACGAGGGAGCAGTTGGGGTGCGGGCCACTCTGTCCCGGTGGAGGCCAGGCACGGTTGCCCCCACTCAGGAGGGGCTGTCCTTGGGATGGTCGGCCGGGCTGCGGCCCTGTGCTGGCCCCTGGGGGAAGGGCTTCTGGCCGGGCTGCCCGTGCGCTTGTCTGCTCTGGGGCGGCTTTGAACCCGGGACACGGTCTCCGGCTTGGGAGTTGGGGCTCCCGCTGCCCTGAGCCCACGAGGCCCCTGGCCCTGCAGGGGTCCTGTGCCCCGGGTACCTGGGTCAGGGAGGGGAGCAGCGTGGCACATGGGGACCGGCACCCCGCTTCCCTGTGGAGGCCCAGGCCGTGGGGTACGTTCTGGAACTGGCAGGCATGGGCGGCCCCAGCGCAGGAGGAGGCGTCAGGATGGTCCTGGAAGGGGAGAGGGATGGCCGGAGAGCAGCACCGGGCAGCAGAGGCCCCCAGGGGGCCCAGCCCGGAGCGCAGGGGAGCCCGGCGGGCCGCCGCCCTCGGCTCAGAGCATGTGTGGGCCGGAGCGGGTGCAGCCTCTTCTGGGCCCCGAGCGGGGCTCCTGGGGGCACAGGGCTGGGGCCCCACCGTGGAGGTGTCGGACAGAGGCGGGACCCGGAGACCCGCGCGCGCCGGCTGGGCTCCCAGGGCCTGGACACCTCTTGGCCTGTGGAGTGCCATTGGGGGAGGCGGCTGGTGCCCACCTGGGACTCCTCCCCCCAGGCAGGAGGGCTGCTCCCGGGCCCTGGACAGGGCCCCCAGCCCCAGAGCCAGACGCGGCCCTGTCTGCGCTCTGGCCCAGCTTTCCCCTGTCCCACGGGGGGCCCTGAGGCCTGTCCGGCTGGGGGTCAAGCGCCTTTGACAGGTGGCTAGCGGAGGCCGGCCAGCCCAGCCAGCGTTTTCCTGCTGTGGGCCTCGGGGCGCTTCTGGGTGAGGGGTGGGGTGGGGCGGGGGTCTCGGAGCCCCAGTGACCAGGCCAGCGCAGCCCTGAAGCGCCGGGCCCCGCCGCCCTGCCCTCACCCACCGCCTCTCCCAGTGCCCCAGGTGCGTGCAGTGCGGTGCCAAGTTCGACTTTCTCACCAGGAAGGTGAGCGGGGCCCGGGGTGGGGGGGGCGGGGAGCACCCCTCCCGCCCTCCCGCTCTGGCGCGGCCCTCACTGCTGCCTGCCCCCAGCACCACTGCCGCCGCTGCGGGAAGTGCTTCTGCGACCGCTGCTGTGGCCGGAAGGTGCCCCTGCGGCGCATGTGCTTCGTGGACCCCGTGCGCCAGTGCGCCCGCTGCGCCCGCGTGTCCCTGCGCGAGGCCGGCTTCTACGACTCGCAGCTCCAGGTGCTGCTGCGCGGTAAGCGCCGCCGGGGCCCCCAGCCGCGACCCCCAGCGCGCCCCGAGACCCGACCCCTCTGCAGCCCCGGGCTGGGGTTCGGCTGGGTGGGGAGGGGGCGTCTGGGGCCTGCAGGCCCTGCCCCTCGCAGCTTCCCGGCGGGAGGGCGCCCCTCTCCGCCAGCTGGTGCTCAGGGGCCCCGAGGCCGCCCCTAGCCCGCGGCCGCCCCTAGCCCGCGGCCGCCCCTCACGTGCTTTCTCCCAAGGAGCCACCTTCCTGGTCACCCTTGCGGGCGCGGCGCGGCCGGAAGCCATGGTCTGCCGTCTCTCCAGCAACCAGAGGTAAGGGGGGGCGGGGCGGCGGGGACCCCCAGCTGAGCTGCTGCCCACGCCCTGTTTGGCGCAGGTTCCTGCTGCTGGACGGGGACGGCCACCACGAGCTGGAGGTCGCGCGCATCGCCGCCGTGCAGGTCCTCGCTGAGGGCGTCCCCACCGGAGGTAGGGCGGCGCCGGCCTGGTGTGTGTGCGCGCGCGCGCGCGCGGCCCGTGAGCGTCAACGCCGCCCCGCCGCGGGCCTGCCCCTGTGCGGGGCCGCCTGCTTTGGGCCCGGCGCCCCTGGTCCTGCCCTCCGCCGCCCCCCTCCTGCCTAGAAAGCAACGCTCAGGCTGGCCAAGCCCCAGCGGCCCTGGCCCACGGAGGGCGGCACTGCCTCCCCGCTCCTGGGGCAGGCGCACACTCTCCCAGCGCCACTCCCCGCGGCCCTGGGCCGGCTGCAGGGGGCAAGCCAGCACCCTCTCCCACTCCTCTCCCACTCCTCTCTCCCTGAGCCCCCCGGACAGGAGGGTGAGGGCCAGGCCAGGGTTTTGCACCACTGGTGCCCTCCTTCCCAGCACCGGGAGGTGGCTGCCAGCGGAAGGACCCTGCCCGCTCCCTAGGAGTCGGGGCCCAGGAGTCCGCCTACTGCGGCCGCGCCCGACCCAGAGCCTCGAGGGCCGGCAGGCGCGCTCGCGGCAGCGCACGCTCCCTGGCGGTGGTTTGGGGTAGCGTGTGCCCACTGCCCGCAGTTCCAGAACTTTGACACAGGTGGCAGCTTCCCGTGGTGCAGGCTGGCAGGCTCCGGGCTGAGGCCTGCAGGGTTGCAGCCTGGGTGTGCTGCAGCTTCTGTGCCGGCCGCAGCAGGTCCGGTGGAGCCGTTTCCCAGGTGGGGGTGGGCACAGGGCCCCTGCGGACCTGGCAGGGGAGGTGCGTCAGGTGGGCAGAGCCAGGGTAAGGCCGGCTGTGCGGGCCTGGGTTTGGCTCAGGTCACGAAGGAAACTCCATGGGTAGCCCCCACCTGGGTGCAGGCCTGGCACAGGCGCGCACCCCGCCTCCAGCATCCCAGGTGGGGCGCAGCCTGTGGCTTGGGCCTGGGTCAGTGACACCGGCAGCCTGGCTATGCACGCAGTGGGCCCTGCCTGGGCGTGCCTGGCCGGCCAGCCCCGGCCCAGGGGCCTGATGAGTGTGGCAGGGCTCCGGAGAGGTGGCCGTGTGGTCGGCGTGTCACCTCGGGCCTCCTGGGGGAGGGGCCTCCGGTGAGGCCTGCACAGGCCCAAGGCCAGCCCGCGCGGGGAAGGCCACTGGTCATCACATGTGGGCTCCTGGCAGCTGGCCTATGTCTCACTTCGTCCTTGTCTCCAGGAGGCAACGCCCGGGCCACCGGCATGTCCCTGCAGTACACGGTGCCGGGCGTGGAGGACGTGGCCCAGCTGAGGCTTGTGGTCCCGGAGGACTTGAGCGCTGGCCGGCAGCAGGCGGCTGCGTGGCTGGTGGCCATGCACAAGGTGGGTGCTGCCGGCGGGCTCCCGCCCTGGCCCTGCTGGCCCCAGGCTCACCCTTCCCACCTTGCAGGCCGCCAAGCTCCTGTGCGAGTCTCGGGACCAGTGACGCCAGCTGCCCGCGGGCCCCACGCCCCCTCCACCAGCGCCGCTGCCTCAGGCTTTAGGGCTCGTTCCTGCCCGGCGCACAGACCCGCCCTGCCCTCTGCTGGGCCGCCACAGCGGGGCCTCTGCTGGCGGCTGCAGGCCGCAGGCCGCAGGCTGCAGGGAAGAGCTGGCCGTGGGTTTTTTACTTTTCGCTTAGTGTTTCACTTTATTAAAATAACTTTTAATGTAACAGTTTGTATATAAAGCCGACGATACGCCGCCTCCCGCAGCCCTCGCAGCCCGGCGGCACAGCGGTTGCCCAGGTGCAGGCAGCTGATGCACAGTGGGGACACCGCCCCCTCGCCCCCCGGCCTGCTGTGCTGGGGCCCAGCCACGTGCCCCACCTCAAGGGCGCCCTGAGGGCCAGGACCCTCCGGAGGTGCCGCCGGGAGCGGGTGAGCGCGGGGCCGCCGGCGGGCCCTGTGAGGAAGGGATGCGGTGTGGACAGCGGGTCCGACCTGCCCCCCAGGGCGCGGCCCTGGGGCCCTGGGCCCGGTGCGAGCGCTGACTGTCGCAGGAGCCAGGCGAGGTGACCCATAGGGCCTCTCGGAGGCCACAGGGCGGCTGTTTCGAAAGCTGAGTGTTTATTTGGATTTACAGTAGTTGGCAGAGTCCAGTCTTCAGCCGGGTCCCCGGTCTCGGGCGAGCTGGGGGCAGGACCTGCCCCCAATCCGGCAGGCTTCACATTGTGGACGCCCCGCGAGGGCCGCGCGCTCCCGGGACAGGGCTCCTGTGCTCCTCAGGCTGCCTGGGCTCAGGCCAGCGTGCGCTGTCGGGGCTTGATCCGCGGGTACAGCTGGGGAGCGAGGGGCCGAGTGGGGGGGCTGCCGGCTGACCTGCCCGCCCCGCGCCCACCCTAGCGCCCTCGCCGCCTGGGCAGTGCCCCCCTCGCTGGCCGTGTTCCCAGGCAGTGGGGCCGGCCAACCGCGGGGTGCACCGGGAGCCGCAGGCATCACCCCACCCGGCTGAAGGGCTGTCGGGGCAGCAGGATTCCGGACGGGCGGCAGCCGCAGTGAGCGGGCACGGGGCTAGAGGGTGGGGGCCCGTGAGCAGGCGCCGATGGGCCACCCGAGGTGGCCAGTGGCCTCAGGCCAGCTGGTGGGCACCCTGGGCCGAGGCCGGGGTGCTGCTGCCGCCGGGGGCGGGGCGCACCTACCCCCAGCAGGTTTTTGGGCACGTAGCCCTCCCGGTCCCCGAGGCGGGCCCACCACCACTCGGTCTCGCTCTCGTCCTGGCGCCGGAGCACGGTGATGGCGTCTCCTTCGTGGAAGGACAGCTCGTCGCTGTTCTGGGCCTCGTAGGCCCACAGCGCGTACACCAGGCCCTTGTTCATCACGCCCAGCTTCTCCTGCACGCCTGGGGGACAGCCGGGTCAGGCCGCGCCTCCCTGCCGCGGGGTCTCGGCCGGGGAGGCGCCCCG